CCTCAGTTTATGTTCCTAGTCAAAGGTTGCAATTCAGTATCACAACTTAGGCTCTTGTTTAAGGGATTGGGCTGAGGCTCTTAGTTAAAGTACACGGCTCAGACTCCCAGTCCATGTTTTGAGTTCATACTCTGAGTTCATGTGCTAAGTACGTGTTTGGAGCTGATATTCTGAGATCTGGCTATGGGTGCACGCTCTGAGTACAAGTTCTGAGATCACGTTCTGCATTCTTGTTCTCTGTTTATGTTCTGAGTTGACCTGGTGAGTTAATATTTTCAGGACTCCATGTTGGAAGTCCATGTTTGGAGTCCATGTTCGGAGTCCATGTTCAGAGTCCATGTTCATGCTCGGAGTCCATGTTCTGCACTGTGTTGTGAGTTCATGTTTTCATTACATGTTTTGTCTTCATGTTCGGAGTCCATGTTAGGAGCCCATGTTCTGCATTCATGTTCCGAGTCCAAGTTCTGCACCATGTTGTGAGTTCATGTTTTCATTACATGTTCAGCATCCATGTTGGGAGTCCAAGTTCTGCACCATGTTGTGAGTTCATGTTTTCATTACATGTTCGGCATCCATGTTGGGAGTCCATGTTGGCAGTCCATGTTGGCAGTCCATGTTTGGAGTCTATGTTTGGAGTCCATGTTCTATGTTCATCCTTGGAGTCCATGTTCTGCCTTGATGTTGTGAGTTCGTGTTCTGCACCATGTTGTGGGTCCATGTTTTCTTTACATGTTCGGAGTCCATGTTCTGCATCCATGTTTGGAGTCTATGTTCTGCGCTCATGTTCTGCGTTCATGTTCTGCGTTCATGTTCTGTTCTGACGTTGTGAGTTCATGTTTTCATTACATGTTTTGCGTTCATGTTCGGAGTCCATGTTCAGAGCCCATGTTCTGCATTCATGTTCTGAGTTCATGTTCTGCACTATGTTGTGAGTTCATGTTTTCATTACATGTTCGGAGTTTATGTTCTGCGTCCATGTTCGGAGTGCATGTTCTGCGTTCATGCTTGGAGTCCATGTTCCGCGTTCATGTTCAGAGTTCATGTTCTGCACCATGTTTTGAGGTCATGCTGTCGTAACATGTTTTGCGTTCATGTTTGGAGTCCATGTTCTGCGTCCATGTTCTGCGTTCATGTTTGGAGTCCATGTTCTGCGTCCATGTTCTGCGTCCATGTTGGGAGTCCATGTTCTGCATCCATGCTCGGAGTCCATGTTCTTTGTTCATGTTCTTCGTTCATGTTTTGCACCATGTTTTGAGGTCACATTGTCATTACATGTTTTGCATTCACGTTCGGAGTCCATGTTCGGAGTCCATGTTCTGCGTTCATTGTCGGAGTCCATGTTCTGCGTTCATTGTCGGAGTCCATGTTCTGCGTTCATGCTCGGAGTCCATGTTCTGCGTTGATGTTCCGTGTTCATGCTCTGCACCACGTTGTGATTTCATGTTTTCATTACATGTTTTGCATTCATGTTCAGAGTCCATGCTCAGAGCCCATGTTCTGCATTCATGTTCTCAGTTCATGTTCTGCATCATGTTTTGAGTTCATGTTTTCATCACATGTTCGGCGTCCATGTTCTGCATCCATGTTCTATGTCCATGTTGAGAGTCCATGTTCTGCACCATGTTGTGAGTTCATGTTTTCATTACAGGTGCGGAGTTCATGTTCTGCGTCCATGTTCGGAGTGCGTGTTCTGCGTTCATGCTTGGAGTCCATGTTCTGAGTTCATGTTCTGCACCATGTTTTGAGGTCATGCTGTCATTACATGTTTTGCATTCATGTTCGGAGTCCATGTTCTGCTTTCATGCTCGGAGTCCATGTTCTTCGTTCATGTTCCTCGTTCATGTTCTGCACCATGTTTTGAGGTCACATTGTCATTACATGTTTTGCATTCATGTTCGAGTCCATGTTTGGAGTCCATGTTCTGCGTTCATTTTCAGAGTCCATGTTCTGCGTTCATGTTCTGTGTTCATGTTCTGCACCACGTTGTGAGTTCATGTTTTCATTGCATGTTTTGCATTCATGTTCAGAGTCCATGTTCAGAGCCCATGTTCTGCATTCATGTTCTCATTTTATGTTCTGCATCATGTTTTGAGTTCATGTTTTCATTACATTTTCGGCGTCCATCTTCTGTGTCCATGTTCAGAGTGCATGTTCTGCGTTCATGCTCGGAGTCCATGTTCTGCCTTCATGTTCTTACTTCATGTTCTGCACCATGTTTTGAGGTTACGTTGTCATTATATGTTTTGCCTTCATGTTTGGAGTCCATGTTCTGCGTTGATGTTGTGAGTTCATGTTCTGCACCATGTTGTGGGTCCATGTTCGGAGTCTATGTTCTGCGCTCATGGTCGGAGTCCATGTTCTGCGTTCATGTTCCAAGTTCATGTTCTGCACCATGTTTTTTGAGTTCATGTTTTCATTTCATGTTTTGCATTCATGTTCAGAGTCCATGTTCAGAGCCCATGTTCTGCATTCATGTTCTCAGTTCATGTTCTGCATCATGTTTTGAGTTCATGCTTTCATTACATGTTCGGCGTCCATGTTCTGCGTCCATGTTCAGAGTGCATGTTCTGCGTTCATACTCGAGTCCATGTGTTCTGCCTTCATGTTCTTACTTCATGTTCTGCACCATGTTTTGAGGTCGCGTTGTCATTATATGTTTTGCCTTGATGTTTGGAGTCCATGTTCTGTGTTGATGTTGTGAGTTCATGTTCTGCACCATGTTGTGGGTCCATGTTCGGAGTCCATGTTCTGCGTTCATGTTCTGCGTTCATGTTCTGCACCATGTTTTGAGTTCATGTTTTCATTTCATGTTTTGCATTGATGTTCAGAGTACATGTTCAGAGCCCATGTTCTGCATTCATGTTCTCAGTTCATGTTCTGCATCATGTTTTGAGTTCATGCTTTCATTACATGTTCGGCGTCCATGTTCTGCGTCCATGTTCAGAGTGCATGTTCTGCGTTCATACTCGGAGTCTATGTTTTGCGCTCATGCTCGGAGTCCATGTTCTGCGTTTATTTTCGGAGTCCATGTTCTGCATTCATGTTCTTACTTCATGTTCTGCACCATGTTTTAAGGTCGCGTTGTCATTATATGTTTTGCCTTCATGTTTGGAGTCCATGTTTTGCGTTGATGTTGTGAGTTCATGTTCTGCACTATGTTGTGGGTCCATGTTTTCTTTACATGTTCGGAGTCCATGTTCTGCGTCCATGTTCAGAGTCTATGTTCTGCGCTCATGCTCAGAGTCCATGTTCTGCGTTCATGTTGCAAGTTCATGTTCTGCACAATGTTGTGAGTTCATGTTTTCATTACATGTTTTGCATTCATGTTCATAGTCCATGTTCAGCGTTCATGCTTGGAGTCCATGTTCTGCCTTCATGTTCTTACTTCATGTTTTGCACCATGTTTTGAGGTGACGTTGTCATTATATGTTTTGCCTTCATGTTCGGAGTCCGTGTTCTGCGTCTAAATCATATTAATCATAAATCATATATTAAACAAAGGTGCACTTTTTTAGCTTTTCCAATCCATTACTACGATGGTATCTCAAACTATAGAAGGATTCTCTCTCTCTGGATTGTTTTGGTAGTCTCTAAGGATTTTCTTTTATTTAGTGAACAATTTTGTTTCTAGGGCGTTTTTAAAGTTCTCTTTGGTTGGGTTGTTACACTAGTATCTCGCACACTTTTAGAACTCTCATTTGGATTGTTTAGTTTGTATTTGCGCACTTCGAGAAGTGTCTTTCATTGCATTGTTACATAAGTATCTCGCTTTCTCTTAAAATTCTCAATCATTTGATTGTTGCCTTAGTATCTTGCACATGTTTACAATTCCTTTTAATTCCCTCGTTGCGTCTGTGTTTCGTGCACTTTCCTTCTTTGGACTGTTATTTTAGTATTTTGCACACTCTTAGGCTACACGTTCAATGAAAAATTAGGTAATTGTCTCGCGCGATCTTAGGATTGTCTTAGGCTTCTCTTTTTATCGATTGTTATGCTGGCATCTTGTGCACTTTTGAGCTTCTCTTTCCCTCGATTGCTCCACTTGTTATCGTTTGCCATGTTGTTGTTATGGGCACCTTCAAGTTTCTTTTTCTTTCGATTGCTACGTTAAGATCTTGCACATCCTGAGCTTTTCTTCCAATTGATTGCTACCTCGATATCCTAGACACTCTCTTTTCTGGGATTGTTGCATTAGTACCTTGCGCGCTCCTTGATTGTTATGTCAGTACCTGGTGCGCACTAAGGAAATCTCTTTAGTTTCATTAATTCCTCAGTTACTCGCACACTTTTAATATCATCAGGGACTTTTTAGGCTTGTTTTCAATTGGAAGGTTTCCTTAGTGTTTTTCACATTTGCAGGAGTGCGTTACATTCGATTTTTTAGGTAATCATCAATGAGTTCGAGGGTTTCACTAGGAATTCCAAATCTCGAAACACAGATGAAAGCTCAAAGTGGTCAGTGTCGGCACGAGTTTTTGTGAGGGCTTCTCCAAGCACCCCTTGTTTTATTTTTTCTTAATTATTGTATTGTTTACAAAGTTAGGTGCTTAACTATTTAAATTAGCCTGCTAGTGGTGGTGAGGTTTTTTGGAAGTCAGTGTTTCCATGTGCTTGTGAGAGATGGATGCAAGTACAGCTTACTCCCGTTTTAGACTTCCAAGAGTAGTTGGAGAAGAGACTGTTAGACTTCTAGACCAAGGAGCACCAGGTATAAAGATAGTGTGTGGTGGAAAATTTTCATGAATGGCAAAGGTCGAGAACACTCAACTTTTGGACTTTTTTATGAGAATTTGGTGCCAGATCAAGATAGCAGCCTCTACCTGATAAATTCGAATATTCTTATCATGTGTCTGCTGAAAAATGTATGGATATTGTAGGGAGAAGTTGTTCCAGGGTCATGTACGGCGGTCATGGTTCCGATGTCGTGTTCCGAGGTGATGTTGGGATGTTCTGTGGGCATGTTGTGAGTTGCGAGAAATTGCTGGTGATGACACTGATAGTGGCATTTTGAATATCAACCAAAAGGTTTCTGTTTTTGTGGCTGGCTGCGGAACACGGCCGGATGTGACACACTTCTTGTTGGAAGACCTGCAAACTTCTTAAAGTCCGATGTGGAGAAGAATTCTGACCTGTTTTATAAAGATGTAAGTGAGAGAGCGACAATGCTGACCTAGGGCTCAGGTAGCCATTTATTAGACAAGAGAAAAAACATGAGGAAATTATGCAGAATTTGCCCTAGTCACATTGCCATAGATCTTCATAAAAGCACTCTTCCTGAAAAAGTTTTCTGAAAGTAGTTGTAAAGGTTGAAAAGTGTGCCCTTTCATTCACAAATCCGCTTAACAGCACCCTCCTCCTATTGAAAAGGCCCCCTTTCTATCTCTTCGACCATACCATGAGTTTATTTAAGTGCAATGAACTATAATATTGAAAAAAATTAGACAACTGCTAGTAAAAAAAGTAAAAAGTAAAAAGCAACTTGCTACCGTAGCCAAAAATTGTGTAGGAAAAAAAAAAAGGATAGAAATGAAAACTGCATTATGTAGTAAGATGAAAAGGTCAGTTAGTACCAGATGCAGTGGTATAAACATTTACAGGTGTTGAAAGTTAATTTACATGGTGAAAGTTGCTCTCCCTGTTGATTATTTTTTAGATTGCTGATGGAGCAAATGGAATTGTGACAGGTAGACTTGGATGTTTTGAGAATCCTTTGGGATAGAGGGTGGAAATTGTTCAATTGGAGGAGTTGGACTATGAAGGAAATGACAAATTCTGGACAGTAAGTATTTGCAATTGTAAATTGAACCCAACAGGTTGCTGGTCACCTTATACAGAAAGACCTGCAGGTGGTGGGGGGAGGGTGATGGGGAAGGGATTTTATGACATCTTTTGTGGAGAAGCAGCCTCTCACAGTAATTTCTGTATTCAGATAGGAAAGATATGACCTTACTCGTGCCCTCAGAGGACTGAAAAGTAGGGAATGAATTAGGATTTTGAGGCGCGACATTTAATCAACCACTTTTCCATATTTATAAATGGAAATAAGTACCAGTCACAGAAAGTACATTGTGTCATTTTGTGTACCTTGCACGTGATTGATCTGGTTATGCAAAGTACAGCGATGAATTTCCATGCACGTCCAGCCTCTTACCCTGTGGTTTTGGTCTTCTTTTTTAGACAAGTCAGCTTGTGGTGCAAACAACTTAAATAAAATAATGCACTTGTGCAAGTAGGGGCAAGTGAGTTTGAAGAGGTATTTTTCTTGCTGGGAGTATCCCAGCACAAATGTTTTAATTATTTTTGGAAGTGAGCACATTGTGAGACAAACTACAATAGTTATTGATTATTGGGACCATAAACATTGTGCGCTGATTTAACCCTACAACTCCCAATGCTGATTTTTAATTCTCCCTTCTAGCTGCTACACATTCCCTTGTAAATAAGTGATGTGAACATGGTGCTAAATCAAGATAGCAGCTTTTACCTGATAAGTTTGAATATTCTGATCCCCTGTTTGCTGAAGAATGTATTGATATTGTAGGGAGAAGTCTCATGTTAATCACTTCTGCCAGTCAAGTGGTTAAAGAATATTAAAAGTTCATTTTGCATCTTAAAAGCTAATAGCATAGTAACCTGTGTAGAAGTGTAATTGTTGTTTTTAATTTTTTGGTAGACACGTAAAAGCAGTAGCAAAATAGTAACTTTCCTCTTGTGTCCCATTGGTTGCATCCATAGGTGACAACAGAGAATGTGTGCTCTTTGGTAATGAGTGATTTAAACAGCCATGAATTGGCAGAGATATTTTGTTTGCAATGTTAAAATGTCAACAAGTCTGAATTGTGGCTCTTAAAAATGTGAGCACTCTATCTAGGCCCCCATGATTAACGAGCCTTCTCTTTATCTTGATAGAGACTGTAAGTTTTGTGGAGGATTAGGTTTACGTTTGATAATTTTACAATCATTTGACCTTTGATTTGCAGAGTTACTTGTTGGCTCAGAAGACTTTGACATGAGAGTGTTTAAAGATGATGAGATGATTGCAGAGATAACTGGAACTGAGGTGGGCGCATCTAGCTCTTTTGAAGAAGCTATTCTACATCCATTTATGAATTCATACTGAATTTGCTTTTCAAGCTTTCAGGTCTGAAATCGAGGACTGCAAGAGGGGCTCACATTTGAGGCATTGCACTCAGGCTCTCAATTCAAGCGCACCCTGCAGGCTTCCAGTTGATGTTACGAGTTCATGTTGCCAGGTCATGTTCCGAGGTCATGTTGCAAGGACATGGTGTGAGGTCATGTTCCAGTTTCATGTTCTACGGTCATGTTCCCTGGTGATGTATGGCAATAATGGTCCGAGGTCATGGTCAGAGGTCACATTCTGAGGTGATGTTCCCAGGCCATGGTCTAAAGTCATCCTTTGGTGTCATGTTCCACGGTCATGTGGCGTGGTCATTTACGGCAGTAATGGTCTGTGGTCATGGTCTAAGGTCATTGTCTGAGGTCATGTCCCTAGGTGATGTCTCAAGATGATGTTCTGAGGTCATGTCCAGAATTGCAAGAAATAGCTTGTCATGACACTGAGAGTGGCATTTTGAACATCAACTGAGAAGTTTGTGCTTTTTTGGCTGGCCCCGGAACACTGCTTGGTGTGACACACTTCTTGCTGAAACACCCACACACTTCTTGGCCTCCAATGTGGGGAAGAATTCTAACCTGTTTTATGAAGATGTAAGTGACAGAGCGACAATACTGACCAAGGGCTTAGGTTGCCGTTTGGTAGACAAGAAAAAAAAAACCATTAGGAAATTATGCAGAATTTCTCCTGGTCACCTTGCCATAGGTCCTCATAAAAGCACTCCTCCTGAATAAGTTTTCTGAAAATACCTTTAGGGTTGAAAAGAGTGCCCTTTCCTTTAGAAAATCAGCTTAACAGCACCCTCTTCCCCTTTGAATAGGTACTCCTTCTATCTCCTCGACCATACCTTGAGTTTATTTATGTGCAATGAACTATACTATAAAAAAAGACTGAAAGACTGCTAGTAAAATGTAAAAGGGAACTTGGTATTGTAGCCAAAAATTTTCTAGGGGAAAAAGAAGAATAGAAGTGAAAAGTGCTGTATGTAGTGAAATGAAAAGGTCGGTTAGTACTAGGTGCAGTGGTATAAACATTTACAGGTGTTGAAAGTTAATTTCCATGGTACAAGTTGCTCTCCCTGTTGATTATTTTTAGATTGCTGATGGAGCAAATGCAATTGTGAGAGGTAGACTTGGATCTTTTGAGAATCTTTTGGGACTGATGGTGGAAATTTTTCTATTGGAGGATTTGGATGATGAAGGGAATGACAGATCCTGGACAGTAAGTATTGGCAAGTGTAAATTGAATTCAACAGGGCACTGGACACCTTATACTGCAAGACCTGTGGGTGGTGAGGGAAGGGTAATGGGGGAGAGGGGTTTTATTACATCTGTTGTGGAGATACAGCCTCTCTCAGTAATTTGTGCATTCAGATAGGAAAGATATGACATTCTCGTGCCCTCGGACGACAGAAAAATGGGCAATGAAGTATGATTTTGCGTCGAGTTTCCTTATTTATAAATGGAAATAAGTACCAGTCACAGAAAGTGAAGTGTGTGATTTGGTGTACCTTACACGTGTATGATTTGGCCACGCAAAGTACAGCCATGAATCTCCATGCAAGTCCAGCCTCTTACCCTGTAGTTTTGATCTTTTTTGGGGAAAAGTGAGCTTGTGGTATGAATAAGTTATATAATTAATGCACTTGTGAAAGTAGGGGGAAGTGAGTAAGCATTGCACGTGTTGCAATTATGTTTGGGAGTGAGCATATTGTGACACAAACCATAATAGTTATTGATTATTGGGACCATAAACATTATGCGTTGATTTAACTCTTTAATTCCCAAGATTGGATTGTTAATTCTCCCCTGCAGCTGCTACACATTTTCTTTTTAAAATTAGATATGAGAACTTGGTGCTAGATCAAGATAGCAGCTTCTACCTGATAACTTCGAATATTCTGATCTCATGTTAGGTGAAGAATGTATGGATGTTGTAGGGAGAATTTTTCATGTCAATCACTTCTGGGAGTTAAAGGGTTCAATGATACCAAAGGTGTATTTTGCATCCCAAAAGCTAATAGCATAGTAACCTGTGTAGAAGTGTAATTGTTGTTTTTATTTTTTGGTAGACATGTAAAAGCAGTAGCAAAAATAGTAACTTTATTTTTGTTTGTCCTTGGTTTCATCCGTAGGTGACAGGAGACATTGTGTGCTCTTTGGTAATGGGTGACTTAAACAGCCATGGATTGGCGAAGGTATTTTGTTTGCAATGTCAAATAGTCTGAGTTGTGGCTCTGAAAAATGTGAGCACTCTCTCTATGGCCCCATGATTAACGAGCCTTCTCTTTATCTTGATAGAGGCTGTAAGTTTTGTGCAGGATTAAGTTTCATATGATAATTTTACAATCATTTGACCTTTGATTTGCACAGTTACTTGTTGGTTCAGAAGACTTTGACATGAGAGTGTTTAAAGATGATGAGATGATTGTAGAGATGACTGGAACTGAGGTGGGCGCATCTAGCTCTTTTTGGGAAGGTATTTTACATCCAGGTATTAATTCATACTGAATTTTCTTTTGAAGCTTTCAGATCTGAAATGGAGGACTGCAATTGAGGCTCACATTTGAGGCATTGTGTTCAGGCTCTCAGTTCAAGCGCATCTTCCAGGCTTTTAGTTCATGTTCCGAAGTCATGGGGTGAGGAGTGGCTGCAATGGGTGCAAAATATGTTTTCACTATAACGCTGTGTAGTGTTTAGGACTCTAAGACTGAGGCCTTTTGGAAAGACGTCTTGCAGACCCTTTGGGGCACTGTCAACATTTTGGACCGCATCATTGAACATGTCGTCATCTAAAGCTGTTTGTTTAGATTCTCCACCAATATGCACCTATGAAAGTATTTAAAGCCAAATGCAAGAAATCACATGTTATTAGTGCCGAAAGTGGAGAGGCGATGTTGAAATGTGATGACTGCTGTAAGAATACCAGTATGATGATGAATCTTACTGACTAGGAGACGTGTAGGATCCTGAAACAAGATGTGAAGTCTAACCTTGACACAACTGAGGCAAAACATGTTCAAGAGGAAATTACCAGCAATTTGTCCACAAAAGCTTTACTATGCAAAATTGTTCCTTGTTGTCTCAACTCGGATCCTGAAGAGGTCGCTAATTCTTTCAAGATGTACTTTGCTTCAGTTGGTGGAACAGCTTCAACCAAAGGAAAGCAGCTACCTTTTAACCATGACTTATCCCTTTACCCCTTGACATCTCAAGAACCTCCCTTCTGTCCATTGACAGACAATAACGCTCGGCCTAGGTTCACCTTTCAAGGCATCTCAGCTGACACATTGTTGGACATCATCACTGGAATGCCCAACAATAAAGCCCCTGGTTGTGGTAAAATCGGTGTTAATGTTATCAAATGTGTCCTGCCGCATATCCTGCATGTAATTACCGAGATATTTAACCATTTTCTCACACCTGGTTGCTTTCCAAAGGACTGGAAAATAGCAGAGGTGGCGTCTCACCCTAAACATGGTGATCATGAAGAGTCAGTAACATCCACCTCACGTCACTGTTGCCAGTCTTATCTGAGGTCTGGGAACTCGTTGTCCACGACCAGTTTGTCTGCTGTTTGACCTTAAACAAGAGGATGACCATCCACCAAAGTGGCAATAAATAGCATCATTCCATTAAAACACTCGGTCTCCTTTTTACCAGTCACCTGTTAAGTGCAGTTGACGAAAGAAAAGGTGACTGGCATCTCTATGCTTGACCCAAGTAAAACATTTGATGGTACTCAACATAAGATCCTGTTGGCCAAGCTCAATACCCTCGATGTTTCCCCAGAGGCCTTATCCTGGTTTGAAAGCTACCACACAGATAGACAGCAGTTTGTGCAAATAAATAGTTCCAGATCTAACCCATTAACGTTCAGTCATGGTGTCACCCAGGGTTCAATTGTGGGGACCCTTGTTATTTGATCTCTACACAAACGATTTGCAATCTGTCTGAAGCACCTGAAATGTGGAATCCAAAGTAGATGACTCCAAGCTCTAACTCTCCTTTGCAAGTAAAGACACATTAGCTGGAGTTACAGACCTCAAGTCAAATCTTGTGTGGGTTGCTTCCCAGTGCTTTACCAACGGGTTATTTATCAATCCCAGTAAAACCAAGTTCTGCGTCTTTGGTTCTTGTAGGATGCTTTCGAAGACATCAATCCCTACTCTGACATTCCTCAATCCTCAAAAACATCTCACAGCTGAGAATTCCATACAGGATCTTGGCGTAATACTGGACAGTGGTCTGACCTTCAGCCAACACATTGAATCTCCAGCTTCTGAGCTAAGGAATAAACTTTCCATGATACGTAGGATAAAGCACCTCTTTGATAAATCTACCTTATTAACCATCATTTACTCTCTACTCTTCAGTAAATTGTTCTATTGTTCTATGGTATGGTCAGGAACAGTCTCTTTTGTGGCAAAAAGGAAGTTTGATCATATTATCCCGGCAATGACACAGCTCAAGCTTCTTCCTGTAACTGACCCTCTTCACATCAGGGAGGCCACAATGATGTTTGAAATCAGGAATAACTTAGCTCCCCAGTATTTAACCGAGCTTTATCAGATTCGTTCTAAGGTCACAGATATGATACCAGGAACAAAGACAGCTTAAACCTACCCAAATGCCGCACCTCACTCACACAACAATCCTTTAGAAACTGTGGAGCAAGAGTGGGGAACACTATTCCATCTAATATCTAGTCTAGTCTCAGTGTAAGGTTATTGAAGTTTAACTTAAAGAAATATTTATTGTCCAAATTGTTAAATAGCTCGTTTATAATCATTGTCATCCTTAAGTAATATCATTGTTCTAGTAGTTGATACTTCGTAAGTCTCTACTGTATTATTGTTCATATCATGATGATAACTTATCCAGAAGATCCCCTCGGAGAGGGCTGATAAAGTCTTTGTTTGTTTGTTGGTGAAATTAGCTAGGAGGTGTGAAAAAGGTGGAACTGGTTAGGACATCTACTGAGGAGGGAGGTTGTGAATGACTGTTTTAGGGCATTGGGGTGGAAACCAAAAGGTCGAATGGGGAGAGGAAGACCAAAGAACACTTGAATAAGGTCTGTTGAAAGAGAGAAAGAAAAAGGGCAGGGTAGAAGAGCTGGAGTGTGGCCAAGGCGGAAGCACGTAATGGGGGGGAGAGGGTGAGGTGGACAATTTGACGCCCTTATGCTGATCATGACGATGAGTTACTAGAGGTGCTTTGCTGACTTGAGGTACTTAAGTTACTTTAAAGGCTTCACTTACTCCACGTGCTTTACTTTGGTTGCTTCACTTAGATGCCTCAAGTACTTGAAGGACCTTACTTGAGGTGCTGTACTTACTGAATGTGCTTTACTTTCTTGAGATCCTTCACCTACTTGAGCCGCTTTAGTTACTTGAGATGCCTCAATTACTAGACGTACTTGACTTACTACACGTGCTTTACTTACTTTAGGTACTTTACTCGCTTCAGGTACTTTACTTATTGTAGGTGCTTTTGTTACCTGAGATCCCTCACTTTTTTAAGGTACTTTACTTGCTTCAGGAAGTGTATTTTATTCAGGTTCTTTATTTACTTGGGGTGTTTTCCTTTCTTCCTGTGCTTTACTCACTTGAGTTGCTTTTCCCACTTGAGGTTCTTTCCGGTCTTTTTTCCTTCATGTGCCTTACTTCAGACTCTTTACTTACTTGAGGTGTTTGACTTTGAGAAATAGATGTAGATGTTGATTTTAATGAGGGTCCGTGCTACTTTGATTGAAGTTCTGTTGTACGTTACTGGAAGTGAACTTCAAGGTGGTCTTCTGCTGTGAATGAATTGCTACTTTTCCTTTGGAGGAATGTTTTTGGAGAAGGATCAACAGCAACTGAGTTCTTTGATGTTGCTGGTGCCAATGTTTGGCAGGGTATTTTCGGTAGTTGGCTCTTCATCAATACTAAGTAAGTCTCGTACTCCCAGACTCTCTGTTTTCTTGTTTATTATCCGCACAATAACTCACTAGGAGGACTCATAAGTGACAATAAACTCTAGACAACTCCTACTGGAAACTGGCCTTTTTTGTTGTGTCGGGTTGTCTGATTTTGCTTGCATGTGTTCTGCTTGCAATTTTTCGACAATTCTCTGAGCAGCCGTTTGAGCCACATTTGGTCTTGGTCTTTGACTTATTCAGTTAATTTCTCTCCTCCCCTCATGAGGCTGGACAATAGTTTCAGCTGCTCCTATTTCCACGGGCAAACCAGCTGGAGTGCCTGCTCAATCTTGTGTCCTTTGTGAGAGAACATTACCCCTTTTTCCACTCCCCACGGTTCTTCTCTTGTCCAACGGCAAGTAAAATCTCTCCAACTTCAGGCATACCTCCTCTCTCCTTGTTAAGCCTGTGGCTTT